CATTCAAACATACTTCAAACAGAAAGAATACAAAAAGAAAAGAATAAATAATTTCTCTCATTATTCAGTTGTAGTTCAGAATCTGCCTATGCTGTAGTTTGTGTGTCTGCAGACCAGTGATAAATCCGCAAGAGGTTTCCAATTAGAGGCATGTCAAGATTTTCTTATGATAATCATTTAAAAATAATAATTTTAAAAAATGACTTTGAGCAAAGGAAACAAGACTGGCTGAGTTTTGTTGTACTTGTACAGTTATTAATGTTCTTGATTCTTTTTTTGGCTGTCTGAACTTTGTACAACTAAATTAGTAAGTCTCAGCTACTAGAAAACTACATCTCTCACATCTGACAACACATTGCAAATCTCAGGGCCGACAATGTCACGAGGCACTCTCCTTTGGAAGTCTTCCAGGCAGGGATTTGTGCACCACTATTGTTTTTAATTTACATTACAAGTGAAGAAATCAGCAGGAGAGTGAATGAATGAATAAAAGCAGTGTGATATAACCTAAACCTAGCTGTTGTTTGGCAGTTGTGACTGCCTCAACTTCATTTTAAATAATTCACCAGAAGATGCGAGGTCACACACATTATTTTTCTCTTCATGGGATAATGCAGTTTGATTCTTATATTGTCACCATTCAAAAGTCAATTTAGGTGCTCAAAGTGTCTGCTGTCAAACAAAACGTATCAGTTTACACAGTCATTTTTGTCCAATAAAAAATCTGAAACTCTGATGAATTGCAGTCATGAAAACTGTGTTGGCTCTTTCATGCAGTGTGCTCAGTTTTGAAACTTTTTCTAGTTGACAAATACATTGGCATTGTTGAATGAAAACTTTGTATTGCCAAACCCTTTTAAAGGATTATCATTCATGCTCACATTCATAAGGGAGGTTAGGGGAAAATGTTTAGATACAATAAATGAGCTTCAACAGAATCAAAAAGCCTTTATCTTGCGTCCATATTTTTGTTTTGTTTTGTTTCTTGTTGGATTGGTTGATTTGATTATTGATCAAAAATGTAATACAAATATACAGAACCAGGTAGGGCATACATCTGTTTTATCCTACAAATCAGCTGCCAGACAAAACAACTACAATGAAAGTGACAGGCAGGCGACTTGCTGATGTAGCCTTTTGCATTTCTGAGCATGTGATGAGGCCTGACAAAGACAGAAAATCTGACGTACAATTTTACACAGGCGGGAGTTTAGATATCAGGGAGTAGCAGAGCTGGGAAATGCGCTATCTCCTTCCCCAGTGCGCCAACACGGTGTGATAACATCTAGCAGAGACTGCCAATCGCCGCAGATTAGAACCATTAGTGATCCTTGTCCTTTCCAACGAAATGAGGAATAATGCCGGTGCACAACATTAATCTATGTGAAAAGCTTGTGTTCGGCATGTTCATCTGTCCTCTCCGCATACTGCAGGGATAGGCCTGCTGATCATTTCTCATCTGCCACTGATGCAGTCTTATTCTCCCACACAAGGCAGCCTTTTGCAAAGGAAATAATTTATGGAATCATCATTGACCCTATGCAGGCTCTCCTTGACAGAGAAGCTGGTTAAGAAAAAAGAAAAGAAAATGATTATTATTGTTGTAATGGTGGAGGGTGGATTGTTCCTATTTGTTATTTTTTATTTATTCTTTAAAGTTAAAATTTCTCAAAGTAAATTGACAGCTCTTCAGGCTCTAGCATCATCGTTAGACATCTTGGAATAAACTTCCCTTGGCCCGACCATTTTTATTTTTCAGTGATTTTTTTTTAAATAGAATCGGCCTTTACAAGATATGTTTCTTGTGGAACTTGCATCATGTGTTATTATAGCCAGTTTTGTCTTTTTATCGCGCTCTTCACAGATAAATTGATTTCTTTTGGTTTAGAAGTGAGTGTTATACTCAGTTTTGCATCTTGGCCCTAATTGGACTTGTTAAATGTATTTCATTTCATTCTATTTCATTTTATTCTACTGTATTTTGTTGCATTTCATTTTATAACCATGCTATTATACTTTCCTTCACACAACACTGAAGTCCATGTGGTGGAGTGAAATGAAAAGGCTGCTCATAGGTTTTTCCTGGAGCTGACGTCACGGGTGTCTTAATAGGCAATAGGCTGAGCTTTAAGAGGTGCGCTCATTACACCGTTTCTCTCAGACTGAGAGCTCATCAGAGGGAAAATGGGACACAAATGACAAGGCTGAGCGCGCCGACAGCATTCCTCGTTATTTTTCGCCACTTTAGACACCACTCAGGATAAATCGAGTGAGTTGATGTAAGAATCCCTAAAGGGTAGGCTATTTTTTTTTTCTGTCTGCTTGCCCATATAAATCGCACACTTTCGGATCATCTTGATGGGCCCGCTATGATCTCCAGTCTGTAATTTTGTTCCAGAAATGCTGTTTTTTCAACAGTTAGCCCGCCTTTTGGAGCCGTTGGCCACATGTGGATTGTTGTCCCGCGGAACAGAAGAGTTACATTTAATCTCACGGATGGTGATGTAATTACTCAGATTGATTTGGATACGTTGGATTTCCTGGATCAACGTATAGAGGAGACTGGGACGTTGGAGAAAGAAACAGTACATCTCCCACAACCTTTGGCTGGGAATAATTCCAGACAATGCTTCACTGTGCCAGCTGTGAAAAGCCTATTATTGATAGGTTCTTGCTCAAAGTTTTGGACAGACCTTGGCACATCAAATGTGTCCAGTGCTGCGAATGTAAATGCACTTTGACTGAGAAGTGTTTTTCACGAGAAGGAAAACTGTATTGTAAGAATGACTTCTTTAGGTAAGCATCCAAAGTGTTTGTGGTTAATTGTTTTTTTTATAGAGAAATTACAACTGTTGTCAATTTAAATAGCTTCCTCCAGGAAATACAAATGAAGATACATAGAATTTGACAGTCCAGGGTAAGTCCCAAAAACGAGAATTCGCTGAAAATGCTGGGCTGATGGGGCCTGTAGTAAAACTAGTGGACCATGTTCTGCACAGGGCTCAATAAACCCTCTTTGTTTACACCGTGGAGCCGCTGCCTATTCGGAAAAATGTCGCAGTAATTTTGTTTTGTTTTGCTTTTCGTTTTTTTTTCTCGAGAATTAAATATAAATCTGAAAATTGTAGGAAAAAAAGTTTATTTAAGAATGAGTTTAATAACAGGCCAGAACACGCTGTTTCTTAGTATTATAATATAGCAACCTATACAAACAGGGCTCAGCCTTGTGGTTGCTATGATGGACTTACAATTGTACTTTTATTATTTGTTCATATAATATACCACTATATTATCTTTTATTATACTTATTATTCTGTATAGTTGCCTTCACACAGTGAATTCGATTTTGACTATTTGAACTGAAGATACACTAAACAGAAGTTCCTGTTTTTTTGTGGTGGTGGCAGAATAGTTGTCAGTGTTGTAAACTCCTAATAAATGTACATATCTAAACCGAAGTCTAAAAATGATTTATATATTTATTGTACTTAATGCTGACTGTTGCTCTCCCTCTTGAACAGGAGATTTGGGACCAAGTGTGACGGGTGCGCCCAGGGGATTTTACCCAGTGATCTGGTCCGCAGGGCCAAGAGCAAAGTGTTTCACCTGAACTGTTTCACCTGTGTGATGTGTAACAAACAGCTGTCCACCGGAGAGGAACTGTACATCCTGGACGAATTCAAGTTTGTCTGTAAAGAGGACTATCAGAACAATAACGGGAAAGACACAATCCTCCTCTCAGGTAATGATTAGGCTATGCGTTAATCGAGCCAATCAGGCATGAGACATTTATTGTTTTTTTATGTTTTCAAAAGGGGAGTGGAAATATGTTTTTTTTTAGATTTTCTAAATCAAATCATTACATAAATAAACGGTAGACAGGTTATTCCTCTTCTTCTTCTTCTTCTTCTTCTTCTTCTTCTTCTTCTTCTTCTTCTCAGTATTATTGTTATTTATTATTATTATTATCAAAAGCTTCAGTTCTTATCCGTTATCAGAATATTATTAACACATTTCTAAGATAGATTTGCTGCTATATTCATAATTTGCTTTAAAAATGCCGCTGTTTTTCTGGAGGGTTTTGCGGGTATAATTTTGACTCCCAGATCCTGTAAATATTGCGCGCCATGCTGAGCCAATATATCTTTTCCTCCTCACAGTCACGACTTGCAGCGACCCAAGTCTGTCTCCAGACTCCCAGGACCCGCAGGACGACGGGAAGGACTCAGAAACGGGACATTTATCTGATAAAGATGCGTGCAACAACGAAAATGACGAGCAGAGTGCCGTCGGGAAGCGCCGCGGGCCTCGGACCACCATTAAAGCCAAGCAACTGGAGACCCTGAAAGCGGCGTTCGCGGCCACGCCGAAACCCACCAGGCACATCAGGGAGCAGCTGTCACGGGAGACCGGCCTCAGCATGAGAGTCATCCAGGTAAAAAGGCAAAGGAAGGGGAAAAGTAAAAGAAAATAAAAATGTTTTGGAGCATATGGGGCGTTTACATCCATAATCGGACACCTCTGTCCCATCCGAGTTTGGAGGGCAGTGTTCAAACAGTTGTTCTAACAGACAATGGATGATACAAAACATCTTCAAAATCTTCCACACATATGTGGCTGAAGGCGCTTTGGCGTTTTTGGACAGCGCGTTATGCAGACACCTTTAGGGAATCCGTCCTTAATGCTCTGCTGATTTTTTCCCTTTCTTCTCTTTGTTCAGATAGGGGTTCCAATCCGATTTTTCTATAATCTTTACTCCCATTGCGCCCCTAAAACCCTTAAAAGCAGGACTCACTTTGCGCTGATGTCCATGGACATTTTTAAAAAGCTCCCTTGGTGACTTTTCCTGGTGCATCGTTTTCGTCATCGAAATGCATTAAATGTGAATTGTGTTTCAGGGGGTTTACATGGCCAACATTTGATTTGGACGCAGTTAAAACCATTAATCCAAACACCATATTCCTATATTTTTGACCAAGTGTCCATAAGTTAAGCGAGAAAAGTAAACAACAATCACACAACACAGCAGAAGTGCAAGGTAATATTTAAAGGCACATACACTGCTTGCTCTCATCTCGATCTTTAAATTTTTGAAATATCAGAAATGTTGCAGTGATGCCTTCACGGCCCTGCGAGGCATAAGCAGGTAGCCTACAGGATGACGTCTTTTCTTGTGTTTGCTCTGCTTTCCTGCTTGTATCATTCATGCTGCTCACCGTGTCCTGTTTGCGTCCCCTCCCCTCACTTTGTCCTAAAGGTGTGGTTCCAGAATCGGAGGTCCAAAGAGAGACGCATGAAGCAGCTGAGCGCCCTGAGCGGCCGGAGACACGTGTTTTTCCGCGGCCAGAGGAGGATGAGAGCGCTGGGAGAGAGACTGGAACCAGAGGAGCTCGGACACTTCTCCTATTATGGAGGTGAGATATGTTTCAGGGGATGTAGAATTGATAATTCTATTCAAAGTTGATAGTATTTTACTAGAATGTCAATTCAGTTCATCTTCTATTGAACTTTTTTCTTTACATGCTGATATACTGTTTGCACTAATCCAGACATGTGTATGAATGCAGATTATCCTGGTGAATACTATGGCTCAGGAGGGAATTATGAGTACTTTCAAGGCCCACCATCGTCCCAGGCTCAGACTCCAGCAGACTTGGGCTTTGTGCCCTCCTCTGTCCCCGCTGGCACCCCATTAGGAGTCATAGACCACCACCATCCAGGGCACCACTGTCCTGGAGAGTTGCAGTGTTTCTCTGACACAGTATCCCATCATCCTGCGGACTCACCCAGCCCAGAGCCCAATATAGCGGGCTCAATGCACAGCATCTCCAGTGAGATGTGTGGCCCCGGCACACCCTACACCACTGTGTCCCTCAGTGACAACGGATACACCAACCAGCTGTCACAACCCTCCTCAGAAATGAGCGAAGGCACTGTCTGGTAATCAGCAGACACCCAACTACAAGGCACACTTGGATTTTGAAGGCAAATCAATGCTTTTTTTGTTTGTTATTTAAATGTACATTTAGCTATTTATTTATTTATGTATTTATTTATTTATGTATTTATTTACTTAATTGCTTGCATTTCTGTTGAGCTCTATTTAACTATTTATAAATCTCTATATTTGTATGTTGGTATAATTGTTTATTGACTAGCCAATCAATAGATTGTTTTAAATAGTCCACGTGAATTTGACTCATTAAAACATTCACAATGCTGGGCTTCATTGATCAAGCAATAAACAAACACATTTATATGCTGCAGAAAGTGTTTTTTTCAGTGTTTACAAAACCTTTTCTGCCATATATTTGACGTACCTAAAATGTTAATGTGAAGCTGCATGAAAGCGTTTTTTTTATCATCTTTCAGTGTGTTAGACAAACAGCACCCACCATCCATGAGTTCTCCATGTGTAATACAAGATTTTATCATTTAATAACAGATTATGATTGTGATGTTCAATACATTTGACCAAAAACCTCTCTCAGGACCGTGGACACATTGTTTTTGTTTATTTTTATTTGTCAGGCATTTCATTTTCATTATGTTATTGCCAACACATTTGCCTTCAAAAGGATATCTTTATAAATCTGAAAATTTTATATGTAACAGAAAATGATTTGAGTTTACCATGATAAGAGTCCAACGGTATATATAGAATAATGGACAACTGTACAGCACAGTCAACTGTTTACTTAAAGCTCCAGTATTCAGGGGTTTGAATATCAGCATTGTGTAAAACCTCTTGATTCAGACGGACAGACCATTTAATGCAAACAAACCAAACTTTTGTAGCTGTTCTATTTATGTGGTGACTCACTGTGCTAGTTTGTACTATGTCCTCATTAAGAATACAGAAAATGCTAATAAACGGTTGCCAAATGAATGCACAGCAGAACCCTGCAACTTTAGTTGTGAGACGCAGCACTTTTAAAAGTGTTGGATGTTTGTAGTAAAAACAGTTAGCCAAACAGCCAAGGCACAATGGTTTTGACCTTATGGATCAAAATGTCCAGTTATTTACATTGATGGTCCCATACACTGCCAGCAGCAGCAATGTTTTTTTTTTACAGGATATATAAATGATTGTTCCAGTTAAGTTTATGAGACAGATGTTTACGACCATTCACTGTATAATAAAACACATACCGAACATTGTTATTTGTTCATCTCTTTGGAGGGAAATAGTACTTGTTCTTTCAAGTATGAGTGATTCTTGATTTTGTAAGTATAATAAACAGGGATTTGTTAAGAGACACTTTATATATTGGACATATTTTATATTTTTAAGGACTAAAATGATTATATAATGGGATCCTTCAAGGAAACAAATATTTCCAGACCAGTGTTAACTTTAATGAATAACCCTAATATATCATCCTGCTCTGATTAAACCAGTGGCTGTACTTTGTTATCTAAATCAATATACATAGATACTGACATATAATTACACTTAACATTACTGCATTAAGTAAAGTTTAACTTGTTTTTATAGACAAAACATTTAGAACACGCTCTGTATATGTGTCCAGGTCAGTTTGTATGGGAAAGGCATTGTTTGAGAGACACACACAACAACATATCATTATAATGACAACTTATTGCATTTAGAGAGAAAATTTCATACCTCAAAATCTTATTTCAAAAAATATTTTGATGCTTTTTCTCGGTTGACTTTGTGAAACCATTCAGGTCTATGAGCTGCTAAATTTACAGCTTTTTCTGACCTATTCTTAATTGCTGTAACATTGAGTATTTTCTATTGCTACAGCTTACTAAAAGATTCATGGTTTATTATCCAGAACTCCAATATTATGAACATCTTGACAAGGAGATTTAGACTTACCTTTAAATACAATTTTATACACAAATCTGTGTAAATTGTTTTTATTTAAAAGTCTTCTGCAGGTTCTTGGCAAGGAGATTTAAGACTTAAAATGACATTTTTTGGAGAGGCTTGCAGGTTCTCTTCTAGGTTCTCCATCTGCTGCAGCTCAGTCAACAAAACTACAGCTGCTCATTGTTACTGACAGTGTTGGCTAATCCAGACAAACATCTAGCTAGCAATCAATACACTTTCAAATCCAGGAGCAATTGGTCAGCATTCTTTTCAGATCACTTTGCAAATGTTAGTGAGCTGTTGCATTTATAAAGTGGCTAGTGTCTGCTCTGTACTGTGAGAGAAGAACACCACTGAAGTTTAGACCTAAACTCTGTTTGTACCTGTTGGTCACGGCTTGAAATGTATTCCATTGCTGTCTTCTTGACTTATTCAAATGAGTTTATGCTCTCACCAAACACCAAAAGCAAACACAAACAAATCTGTTACCACAAGATACATTTCAGAGCGAAATTGCTTAATTAGAAACATTACCGATGCATATAACATACTGTATGTGTGTGTGCCTGTGTGTTTTTATGTTACACAGGAGGAGTTTCTTTATATATTAGGGAACTGTCCATTTGATGGACATTTTCTGATTATTTTGGAAGCAGTGCTGCAGGGATACATTTGGATATGCAAATAATCTGAATAAGTCAATCTTGTCTGAAATGTTAAGTCATACTTCAAGGCGTCTGTGATAATAGTGAAGAAGATGACAGAGGAATATGAACCACTGAGCAGTGAAGCAGGAGGCTGAAGGAGCAAATCAGAGGAGCTGTTTGGGGGAGGGGCAGGAGAAGGCCAGGAGAACATGGATGTGGATCTGTAATTCCTCCCTTAGGTTTCTGTGGGATGTTTTTAAGATTCACTTTGGATTTAACATCTCATCAGTTGGTCACAAAATTTAAGGCAAGCAACAAGATAGCAATCAACATACCCCAAAGCAATACATTTTTGTAAGCCTTAACACGCGTATAAACAGGTCATCTTTAAAAAAGCTCAGGCACTGTAGTTTTTAGCAACTGGGAGTAAATAGAGCATTTGTTTGGGAGTTCTCGGCAGCAGGACCAGTGGTGGAAGAAGTACTCAAATTGTATCCATAAGTAATTCAAGTAGCAATACCACAGTGTAAAAATACTCTGTTACATAAAAGTGAATTCATCAAAATATAGTTAAAGGACCAGTGCGTGGGATTTAGTGGCAACTAGTGGTGAGGTTGCAGATTGCAACTGCTAATAGATCTACCTAAATCTTACAAACCGGTCCTTTAAGGTATAAGTAAGTAGCAGAATGGCCTACTAAGTAAACATCACTAATGCTGTAGTTGGTTAAGGTCGAGAAAATGTTATTTATATACTGCCAGGTAGCTTAATGTATAATAATATACCATAATTTATTAGTTGATTGTTGTTGAATATAGTTATATTTTGTATTAATCTGAATTTCTCTCTGTACATACAGTACTTGAGGAAAAGTACTTTGTTATATTCCACCCCGAGCAGGAGTGGGATCAACTCTAAATTAACTACAGTGCCCGTAAGTCAATTCAAATGGTGTTGGTCTTTTTATGTGATTTGTTGACAGCAAGTAAAATTTATGATTGGACTTAAAATCACAATGTTTTTGACAGATAAATTAGAGCTTTCTGAATAGAGTTCTGGGGGCCAGCTGCTAATGGAGGAACACTTGAGACACTTCTATATTTCATCAGCTGCTGGCGGCTGCTTGCAACCAACTTTAGAAAGTCAACGTTGTCATGGCTCAGGAAAACTCAGGATTGGACCAAAATGCAAGACAGCTTTAATGGCAGGATGACTATGGTGATTTATTGTCACTCATGGGTAGGTGCAGAAAGGCGGGCAGGAAGACTGGTAACAAATAGTAAAAAGTCCAAATAAGGAAACAACCAGGAACCAAACCAGGAAACGAAGTAGCCAAAGCAAAGTATCCAGAGACACAATCGAAAGTGAACTATCCACAGAGAAGACCAAAAGAACATCCAACATCCAAAGAAACAAGGGAACACAAAGACCAAATATACAGGTGAGGCAAAGGATAAGGACACACAGGTGACAACAATCAAGGAGGGTCAAAAAGTCACAATTGGTGGGGAAAAGACAAAGACAGGAAGTAAAGTAGAACA